GCTGCCTCCGACTCAGCCTGGGCTTCTTGGGTACCAGTCAGGCTCTTCCAGATAGAAAACATATTCAAAACCATGCATTGGGCATGCAGGATGCTTCCTAAAATCCAACATCCTGTTTATAGTTTATAAACACAATGCCCTGGGAAGAGGCATCTGACTGATTCTCCAAGGCATCTAGTTGACTAGATCCCATTGGAATTCTTTGAGTTCCCAGGAAGGGGCTACTTAGCACGTCACACTCTCTGAATTAGAACAGAGTTTCTTGCTTTTCCAACCAGAGTATGAATTGTAATCTAGTGCCAAACTTCCTTCCACACTTACATGAGGGGACTTAAAAAAAACTTATGGAAAATGGGAGTAAAAGATAAGTTTATTTATTACAAAAACATTTTGAAATCCATGCATAGTTTTCTCATAATATGCATTTTCTATGAACTTTTTGCAGATCCCTTATACAGCTTTGCTTTGTGGTTTTTGGCAATTCTTTTGAGGGAGGCCCCTTGATCTGCCATTTTTACCTTAGTCATAGCTCATGCCATAATTTTTTAAAATTACGGTAAATTTCAAACGCTTCTGTCTGATACATTGACCTCATTCCAAAGTCATTATATTTTATCATCTTAATTTCACCTACTAAGAAATAATGCTTTGCATGTTGGTTATGAATTAAATATTAAGGGAATTTATCAATATATCCAAAGAATTACCCAGGAAAACAACTGGCCAAGGCTCGTTGCTTATAGATACAGTGAGCCAGAAGAGGGATCTAGGATAGGACCTGTTTTTCCCCCTGACCCTTATCTCTTAACTGCTGGAGCAAAAGGAGACACATAGTAGGTGCCTGATGAATAGCTGTTAAATAAATCTTTGTTGAAAGGAGCCGCAGGAAGACACATGTGCATACATTGGTATCTCTATCTAAGCCAAGGGAGAGAGAGGGACACCAAAGCATGCCCTCTTTTGCCTGGTAAGCAGGGCACAAGTAAGGCCATTCTTGGCACAGGCTGCTTGTCTTAGCCTGTTGCTGGAATAACTTGTGTGAAACCAGCACACTACCCTCTGCCAGGCAGAAGGTCAGCCCAAGAGTGAGCTGATCTGTGGGGCACAACATCATCTCTCACCCAGGAGGCTGCTATGTTATTTCGCTGAGGATGACAGGTGGGGAAATCTGGGCACCAGTTGTTCTTTTCCACTGGTATCGTTTGGAGGGTAGCTCCAAAGTCGGGCACGCCAGCCTACGTGCCTCTCCTGCCGGCGAGGCTCCACTTCAGAGCTATTAGAATGCGGGCTCTGTACATTGGCCAAGTCCATGTCTCAGAGACTGTACCCAGAGCACAGAGCAGCCACAGGGTGATAGTTCAGCAAGAGAGTCGTTCTCTCATTCTCCATCCTCGGCTGGGCTGAGGTCTAAAATCTTGAGAAGCAATGTTTGATTTTATGACACATGGCTTTATAAAAAATTAAGACAAACTGGAATGAATTTACTTTTGAGAAAGTGACAGAAACTTCTCCAAAGCAGATATCCCTAAGCTGCCAGGAAGTGGAGATCTCAGTAGGGTGAATTTCCTTAATTCCAGATTTTCCTCTTTGTGAGGTCTTCCACTGCCCACCCGCACTTTGCACATTCTCGCCCATGCACACTCCGACTAACATAATATTAAGACAACTTGACTTCACGTTGCTCCTTTCTTAAACTGTTTCCTATTTCTTTGTGAGCAGGACAGAATTAGTTCATATAGTTTGAACTCTTAAGGCAAAAAACAAACAAACAAAAAACCCAGGATTATGTTGCAAGAAACTTAACTTTTGGTTTTGAGAGTTTTGTGAGTTTTGCGGCAAATTTACATTGTTGCTTATATTTTTACTTCATTTTAATATAAAAACTGAACAAAAAGTATGTTTTGTGTGTTGGAATTGTAAAATTTATTTTAATCTTTGTGATGATGCAACATTCTCTCTGTCACTATTTTATTCTTCATCATTACTTCTGGATTCAGTTTACCATCACTAAAGAGACATTATCAGATAATAAAGTTACATTTTATGTGACATTGTCTCTTTATTGGTATAAATTTCATAGCATTTGCTTGCAAGAAGTGTTTTATTCTTTTAAAATTGTGCTTGCAATTCAGGCTATCGCTACTAGGTGGCAGTCGTGTACAAGAACTAAACAGTCTACCTGGAAGAGTGGGAAGACTTCAAAAAGTTCATGGAAAATGGAATAAAAAGATAAAAACTTATTTTGGTGCGATTTTTCAAAACTCCATGCATAATTTTTTCGTAATGTGCATTTTCCATAAACTTTTTGGAAACCCCTCATATAGTTGCCTTGTATTCCATTGTATGGATAATGTGCAATATCATTGATCACTTCCTTATTGATAGATAATTTGTGCTGTTTCCAAATTTATGTTATTGCAGCCATATTCATATGAATTCATGTGGGTTAATACATAGAAGTGGAATTTCTGGGTTTAAATTATAAACCTTTGCGTTTTTAAAGAATATTGCCAAATTAGCCTTGACAGAGGTTGTACCAATTTATACTGCACTGACTCAAAAATGGGCCTGTTCTCAACAGCCATGCCACAGACTTTGGAATCTTTATATAAATCTGATTGGTTGAACAAAGTATCTCAAAGTATTTTAATTTTTATTCCTCTTAAGTGAATGAGAGTGCCCATCGTCTGTATTTTATATGACAATACTTTTAAAAGTTCATGAGAAATGGAATTAGATTGGTTTATTTTCATGCAAACAATTTTGAAATCCATGCATGATTCTTCATAATATGCCTTTGCCATGAATTTTTACTTGTATTTTCTTTCCAGTAGACAAAATGGAAATGTCTACAAATATCAACATACATACACATATGTATAGTCTTCTTATTGATGTTGCTTATTCTTGCCATCATGATATACATGTTTTTCTTTAACTTGCTGTGCTCATTTAACCGTACCTCCTGGCTATGACTCTGAAGAGAAGTTGCTGGCAGCTGGGAGCTCAGGACTGGAATATCTGCTTTTCCCTTCATCCTTGTGCCATTGACTCCTGGGGGAAATATCTGTAGACTGGAGTGGTGAAAGGAGGAATCTAATCAATTCCCTCTCTGAGACTAATTAAAGCCTCAAAGAGACAGATAACCAACCAACTGGGATAATTTAGTCATACTGAAACTCGGGAAATGGTCAGTAATATTGCATCCTTTGAACATGGACTCCAAGAAAGTTCTGGCTCTTTGAGCTAAAGTCTTGCTGAGTTTCAGGATAATGTGTGTAGAAAGATCTGCACTATGCAGCTGAAAAGAAAACAAGAAATGCTGTTCAGAATCCTTTGCTGATTTGGAACACTGAGCACAGATTTGATTCGTTTTAATGAGATTAATTCCATTAGCATGCACACAAAGGAAAGTGATGCAAAGTTGTGTGGCAGTAGGGCCTCCACAACTTTAGGATTTGCTCCTGTGTATGGAGATGGTGGGAGCTGAAATCATAGCTGTCAAGTGGTGGCATTTTCGAGCAAAAAGGGACAGCAGATGGCATTTTTTCCAACTTCCCTACTCTACAGATGAGGAAATGGACTTGATGAGTTTAAATGACCCATGCAAGGTCCTCCAGTTAATTACAGTCAGTGCAGGGACTGGGGTCTAGGTGGATCCCTTCACTGCTGGTCTCAGCCCTTTCTGAAATTTATAGGATTCCCTAAAACTCATGTTCTGAGGCTTTGCCATTGCCAGGGAGGCTCTGTCCTAAAATAGCCCTGTCTCACACACCTTTTTCCACTTAGAATTCTCTGCTCCACTCTTGCAAGACAGCTAATTAAGTCTCTGTGTGTCTGAAGTCACTCATTCTATCAGAGTAAAAGCAATTGGCTGATACTGACTTTAACTTCTAATTTCAACCTTGTCCTGTTTATTCAGACTGTTCATGGGTAGGGAGTTTTTTTTTTTTTTTTTTTTTTTTTTTTAATGAAAGAGTACTATGAGCAGAGTAATCAAACTTTTATCTGAAATGCTTTCAAAAGTTTTTCTAAAGCTTTAATTATCATGTTCCTTTGGTTTGGGGTGAAATGTTTGGGGTGAAATGTCAATTTTCCCAAATGTTTGAAAATATTTGTGATACTCTCTGTCTTCTGGTGTGATAAAAAAGCATCAGTGTTGGCAATGGCTGGGTGTTAGTGAAGTGATTTGGGGGAGATCTCCAGACCCCAGTCCTTTGTCCAGGAAGTATGGTTCTAAGAATAAAGCAAACTGTTACAGTATGCTCCTATTTTAATGGTAAGCCCTTGCTCCAATGACTACTTTCTTTTCCCAATTAAACCATGGGCCCAGGCCACAAAGGCTCTGTAAAAATGTGACTCTGTCGGCAAATACACATGTGGGGCCTTAACCATGCTGGAGGCCAGTCAGCATAATGTGTATTTCAGATGCAGTTTGTCATTGATGCTGGGTGGCATGGTGCTTAAAACCAAAACAGGATGAGCCCAGAGCACCGAAGTGGAAAACTAGGTGGGTGGGTGAGCATGGACTTGCATGTGGAAAATGTGCTCCCAAGGGACATGTCCTGTGTTCATTAGCGATGACCTGCCCCCTCTCCTCTTACCTGCCCTGTAAGCTGACACTTAACACCAAAGGGTATACTCGGAAGCTGAATAGACTCTCCTGACCCTACCAACCAAGAATAAAGACGAGACCACCCATTTCAGGGCTGGCCAGAACCACATGGGGTTCAAACTGTTCTTGCCCCTAAGATCATGGACTCCAGCAGTTAAAGTCAAAATGTGCTTCCATTCAACCAGGGTATCCACTTCCATGGGGATCCCTGCTATGAGGTAGAGGTGGGGGAGTGAAATGGATGACAGCTTATGCTAATGACACTGTAGAAACTGATATTCTCCACTTAAAATGACATAGAAATATTCTACTCATTACCTCCTGGGTCCCATTAGTGTTTCTGGGTAAACATTTCTGAGGACAATAATCTCTGTTTTCCTTCTAGCTGTGCAGCAGGTACTCTGGTGATGGATTGCGAGAGCAAAGAATAAGACACAACTCCGGCCTTCAAAGGACAATGACAACCAGAAAGCTTCAGCCAGATCCTGCCCTTTCCTTGAAAGGATCTGGAGCCTAGGTTAAAGCATCTCCAATTTTTTGTCCTCTGCCTCCCTCTGCTGTTCTTCTGGAGAAGTTTTTCCTTACAACAATGAGAAATCATGTACTAGCTGCATCTTTTTCTATGCTGTCCCTGCTGGCAATAATGGGAGATACAGACAGCAAAACGGACAGCTCGTTCATGGTGGACTCAGATCCTCGACGCTGCATGAGGCACCACTATGTGGATTCTATCAGTCACCCATTGTACAAGTGTAGCTCCAAGGTAAGACCAAGGTCTCTGTGAAGGTAGCACCCCCGTGGAAACAGGACAGAAGCCATATTTCTTTGTCAAGGGGAGGAGAACTATGATCATGGCCCAGACTTGAGGCATATAGCTGTCTCCCAAGGCTTGTGGGAGACTCATTCTTTTAGGGCTTCCCATCATGCTTTATAATGCTGTCAATAAAGCTGCTTAAGTTGCCATATACGCATTCATCCAGTAGGAGTATATTACTTGACCCTGGCAGTGAAATGTATGAGCAGTAGTATTGTTTTTCAAGAAAGTAAAATAGAGCCTACATGTCACCATCACTCCTCCTACCTCCACCAGCAATAAAGAGGAAGGGGATGCAAAAAAAATACAAGAGATCTTCAAAAAATTCATAGAAAATGCATGTGCCAAAGAAATTATGCCTGGATTTCAAAATATTTTTCAGCAAAATAAATTTATCTTTTAATTCTATTTTCTATGAACCCTTTGAAGTTCCCTTGTGTGATTGAGCCATCGGACACACTCCTTGGAGGTCTCTTCAAAGGCTCTCTTGGTGAAATTACTTAGTACCTGGCCTTTCTCCACGTGCTACATTTATGTGATATTGATTTCAAAAGACAGGGTGGTAATTTGATCATTTATCATTTTTACACCGATTATCTGAATCACTTTTATTTGGAGCAGGTTGCATATCTCTTGCATGGGCAACCTGTACTTCAACACTGAATCTAGGTGTGCAAAGGAATAGGATGCTTAAAAGACCACCAAGAACAGCCAGCCACATGGACCACCCAGAAAGAAGGCACATTGGAGGGTGGAACAGAACTCCAAATGAGAGTTCTCACAAGTGTCACTACTCGCAAACAGTCACATGAATGAAATTTGTCCACACTTGGTAAATACAAATTTGTTTAGCCCAACCTCAGAGATTTTCACTCTCAGTCCTGAGACGAAAACCATTTAAGCATTCTCATATGGCAAGTATCTTTTAAATTACCAGTATAATTAGGGTTTTTTTGTAATATCAACCACTAGAATTGAATTAAGACCATATAAGTCAATCTCTCCACCCTTCATTTGAAAGCATTATGACTTCAGTCTGCTTTTAAAATTTCCATAACTTCTGTGATTAGGGCTCAATGATGCTGACTTGTTTCAGTTTGGGGGATCAGAATTTGAGTCACATTACTTTAACCATTATATTAATAAGGTCTATGACTGTGGGAACAAATAAAGATTTTCCACTTAAGAAAGACTTCCTGGATCTTATTTGTATTTGCAGTAAAGAGATGAATGTAAGTTTTTGCAAGGCTACAATCTCTCCTTAGGGAAAGAAAACTAAGCCATATTGAGAAAAAAATGTGAGAAGTGCTTTAACAATCATGATTTCTGAGAAACTGTAGGCCCAAGTAAGGCTGGCTGGAACAATTATTGCCTTCTCTTCTCCTTCCCTTTATGTTTCCATGGATGACTTTTACCCTGTTGCATTCTCCTTCATAGTCATGATTCTTAAAAAAAGGAGGGGGGGTGTAAAATTATCTTAAAAATGAGTGTCAATGTGATGACAGGAAGTAACACAGAAAATAGAGCATCTCTAAAAACTAGAAAACAATCTGGAAAGATCAAGCAGACTGATGGAGGCACGTCTTAGCAACTATCACATTGACATAGGGAAGGGCAAAGAAAAGACATCATTAGCAGACCTCATTAACTCTTACCCAGTAAACTCACGTTGCCTGAGCATGAGTCTTAGAAACAGACTTCAGTCTACAGTTGGTCACCTTTGTTTCTTCCAGAGCGCTGTGGTAAATAACACTGCACAATTGTGATAGTAGGAGAAATGCTTGTCATTTCATGGGAACAATCTATTTTCAAACATTCTGAACTGTCCCAAATATAGCAATCTTATGTAAATGGTGCTTATGATGATAAACCTTTCTTTCTTGGCTATAAAGTATGCCTGGAAGAATCTCGACTACCCAGACCTTTTATGGATTAGATTTGCTCTATGTAACCAGAAACAAAATTGTTTTCATTTAAAAGTATTCTATAATTCTTAACTTTCACAAACTCAAGCTAATCTTCTCTCTCATGGGTCTCATTTAATGAAATTGTTCACCTTTAGAGACGAGGGATAAAATGTTTATCCTGTTAGAAAGCAGCCAATAACAATCTATCCTAGTGTCTTCTTGGTAAAAGAGACTAGAGTAGATTTTTTTCCCTCTCTACACAAACTTCCTGTCAACATCATGTTCAAGGGCCATTATTTACTAGACAAGTGTCTGCTGTTTGCCCGTAGATTGGTAACACTTCCTGACTTACATCTGTCCAGTGTCTGACTTTGTGAAGACAGATGGAGGGGAGTGTGTGACTCAGTCTCAGGGAAGGGTTAGGACACTTGCTTGAGCATCTAATATGTGTCAGGTACCTTGTACGATGAGGGGGATCCAAATAGTTCACAGAAAATGGAATTAAAAGATAAGTTTGATTTGGTGCAAAATATTTTGAAATCCAGGTGTATGAGGAGTTTTCAAAGAGTTCATGGAAAATGCGTATTATTTAAAAAAAGCTATGCATGGATTTCTTTGGTTTTATTGCACCAAAATAAACTTTTTTAAAAAATATTTTTCCATGAACTTTTTGAAGTACTCTTCTAAGTGTGCTAATCATTACCAACGAGCCTGTGCTGGCAGGCTTTGTCATTTCCATGTTTTCAGTAAAGAAAGCTGAAACCCAAAAGAAGTATTCAGTAGGTTTCTTGATGCCATATAGTGCAGAAATAACAATGTTTACCTTGGAACATTCCTCTTTCTTCAGCTACTTGGTGCTTCATGTTGGAACAATGTAAGTCAAATGCAGGAACCACTATTTAGATGTCTAGGCTCAACTTCTGACCTGCCAACAAGTTACTTATAGTCAGCATTTTTCCTAGAAAATGAAATAGAAGAGAAACCTTTTCTGGGCACCTTCAATGAGTCTCTCAGGTCACCCTAGCCCTGATCTTGCAGCTGGCCAGTCTCAGGGTTCTGTTGCCATCTCCTAGCAATTGAGGAAAGGGCTCAGGTGAAGGCAGGCAGAGAAGACTGAGCCCCGAGTCTCACTAAGGAGGACAGTGTAGCCACAGATGGAGATGCCCTGGTGGCTTTAAGTGGTGATACTTCCTGGGAATGGATACCAAAGATCCTGGGAGTAGTAGATTCCTTTCGAATCTTCATGGGATGCCATGGTTTCTTGGTATTTGGAGTGAATAAAGGCTCTAGAGCAAACAGGCTCAAATGTCGATGGTCAGTGGAAATTGGCTGCTTGGAGAATTTTTACGGGAACTGAAGCATCCCAGACTTTGAAGTGACAGAGACCTGGTTTCCAAATCCAGCTCCAGTTTGTCAAATGGGTGACTTTGGAAGAAGCTAAGTAATTCTTTGGTGTCTCAATTTCTTCCCATGTAAAATGGAGGTATCTGTTCAAAGTTGTGGGTATGGGTGTTGGCAGAGCTATATGTAAAGCAGCCAAGAAAGTGTCCAGCATATACTAGACATTTAATAAATGATGCTGCCATCTTGGTGATGAACTTATAAACGGGACAGGTGTTTTGACTCACTTTCTATTTCAGTCACTACTGAGATCTCAATAACCGTTGGGATCTCCTATAGCTTTAAAGGATTAGGGAAATGAACCTCATTGTGGTGCTTGCTAAACTCAGGATGGGGTGAAGAGCAGAGGGAGGTGTTAAGAATAAGGATAAAAGTAAAAGAGAAACAGACCTGACTGTCTGACCTCCCTTATCAGGTGAGTGGAAGAAAGAGGGGCTAATGGGGGGGGGGTGAATTCTGGACTTGGGCCAAGGAGGGATTTTCAGGAACCCAGGTTGGAAAGTGAGCTGGCAGGGCAGGCTTGCGAAGCCCAAGTTGGGTAAGGACTGAGAGGCGGTGGCTCCAGGCCAGGACTTAGAGCCAGGGCATGGTTGTCTGAACTCTTATGAGCCAGAGGAGCAGGTGGGAACAAAGAGAGAGACAGCAACAAAACGAAGGAGGAGGATGGCTCAGGAGACAAAGCCTAGGAAAATTCACAGAGGACAAGAGCCCTGGCATGTCAAAGGCTGAGCCTGGAGATTAGGAGAGAGTTGTTAGGGCCCCCAAATCTTCTCCTACCACTGCCCACAAGGCTCATAGTGTGGTAGGAAAATGAGGAGAGTCGGGAACATCAAGTTGATAACACAATTGACTGCTTGAGGAATCTGACTTAATTTTTTTTTAAAGGAACAAGTTTATACTGAATGTCTACTACGTGAAGATGCTGTGGAAAATGTTGGAGACACAAAAGTAGAAAGGAGGGAAGGCAGGAAGGCAGAGAGGAAGGAAAGAAGGAAGGAAGAAAGGAAGGAAGGAAAGGAGTGAGGAAGGAAGGGAGGGAGGAAGGAAGGGTGGAAGGAAGGGAGGGAGGGTGGGTTATGGCCCTCATAATTCATCCAAGTAAACAGGAAAGAGAGAAGGGAGGCGTTCTATGTGCAAAGGCCTCTTTGCATCAGTTTGATTTGGGACCTGAGTGAAAGAACCAGATCCCAGCTGGAGTGAGCCGAGATCCCACCCACCCTCCCAAGCCCCATGCCCCATGCCCCATGCCCCGTGCCCCATGCCTTTTGTTCCTCTGGCTGTAAATCTGTTGGTGCCCCCAGCCTGGTCCAGACCCTTTGGAGGTTGACCTGGTTCCCTGAGATGTGCTGAACAGTCCATTTATTGAGGTTGCTGGTAAGAGAAGGAATGGGAGAAGCAACATGAAGGAATCTTGTTCCTGAGGGAAAGGAGGTGCTTCAGGTATATCATGGAAACAGGGGTGCACAGTGGTCAGTGCGGAGAATAAGGCAAAGGAAGTTTTACATTCAGTTGGGGTAAATTCAAAATACTGCTGTAGGATGAAGACAGGTAGGTCTTTATTCTGATCTGAATGGGGACACTTGGTCAGGGTTCTTGGGAGGTTCAGCTCCATGTGAGTTTGAGGATGGTGATGTCATGTCCCAAGAAGTCTGTAGGAAAAAGTTAGACTTGTAGTTCCCTGGTAATGACACAATCAGGGATCTAGAGACAAGTCAGTGTACATTAGAGAAGGGCTTGTGTTGGCTCATGTCTCAGGAAAACATCTTCATGGCAGGGGACAGGTGTTACAGTGGTTTTGATCAGGAGTCTGGTTTTAGACAGATCCAGGTTTGATTCCAACTCTGCCTTGTTCCAGATATGCGAGATTGGGCAAGGAACTGGGACTCGCCAAAGCTTCTGTTTATTCATCTACAATAATAGTATGGATCACCAATTATGTTATCCTTTCTTGGAGGATTGTTACAAGGATTAAATACAATAATTCATGTTGTCATCACTCAATAAACGTTCCTATTAGCTAAATGATTGCTGTCTAGTGATCCATCCCCAACAGAGTCCTGAAACTTGAATGAATCCAGAGCCTTGCTACTCAAAGTTTGGGCATCAGCCCAGCAGTACTGATATCAACAAGAATCTTATGAGAAATGAAGAATCTTGGGTCCTTTTCCAAGAGCTACTCCATCAGGACCTGCATTTTCACATGCACACTTCAGCCTGAGATGCCCTGGTCGGGAAGAGGTCAGAAGATGTTCATTAAGTGCTGAAACACAAGTGAGGCAATGACAGAGGCTAAAATGTGGGCTCCCAAGAGTAAACCGGAATGCATATGGTTTTTCCTTCCATTCTTTAATGACACACAGTTTTGGGTCTTATCTTTCCAACTCCCCCTTCACCTCCCAACACACATAAACAGAGATAGATGTCCAACTAGTTTCCAACTAGTTTCTCATGTTCTCACAGGTGTGGAAGGAGATGATCTTGAACTTTCTCATTAGGGAGATGGGGGCTGGGTACCAGGGACTGACCTGTGCACTACTGACCTATGATGTAATCTGTCCAACTCTGTTTCAGATCATTAATAAATGCCTATCAATGTCAAGAACAGGGAGAATAGAATAAAAACCTTCAAGCAAATTCTAACAGCTTATAGCTGCCATTTTCTCTGCCTCTGGTCTTTCAGAGAAAACAAATCAGTTGGTCTAGTCCAGGTTAATTTTCTCTAAGCCCTACTGTCCCCCACACCCCCAACCCATATCCTATATTCCTTTGATGGTTGCCAAGTGATTGTTGCATTTACCCCTGGCACCTTCTCAGATGATGATGTTAATGATCTATAATTACCATTTCTCCCCTTTGTGGAAAGATGGGCCAGCCATTTCCTTCTTAGAATTTTGGGGTATTTAATTCTGCACTATAGGATGATGTCAGAGATAATAGCTGGTGAGCCTTTATTAATAATTGCTAATGCTCAAAATATTGTAAAGGTAAATGTCAAAAGGTTTCATGTACATATATGTCTCTTTTGCTCTTTTATTTGAATAGTTCCATTTTCTATGATCTTGCTGTTGGTTCTGAAATTATAGGGCAAATTTTTCTCCATTGCTTCAAACATAATTCACTAAGCCAGATCCTCCCACATAAACAGGGACCAGCAATCCCAAGTTCCCCAACCTTCTTCCTGCCTTGGTACATATGAATCAAACTGCTCCATCCTACCTCACCCATGACTTTCACTCCTTGGATACCAGGATTTACATAGGCGATACATAAATGAGCGTTTTGGCTATCTCTTTAGGCTTTATGCAAGATACTGAGTGTGTGCTTATGTACGTATTTTTCCTGGGGATAACTGGTAATTTTTAATCGGACTCATTGCTAAAGCCACGTTAAGAGCCTCCATAAAGAATATACTGCCTTTGTTACTCCAACCCAAACCTTTGGAAATGCAGTTGATCTTAGAATGGGTGCCTCCTAATATTTGCCCTCCAAATGACTCTGAAGATAGAGATGTGATGACACAGATGTCAGGCTCCTTCAGTGCAGAAGCACAAGAGTGTCATCGTAGAGCCCCCAACATGCCCTGTCTCTATTTCTTTGTCTTGTCCTAAGTTGTATCACCCAGAATATGCCTTCCTAAGTATTACTCAGCTGTCCCGTTTCCTTCTTCAGAAACATATTCCTTTTGCTTACTGATTCCTTGTAAAAATCAATCGCCTTTTCGTGTGTCGTCATTCTTTATTTACTCCTCAGTTTAGATTTTGAATGAGTTTCTGCATTTTGTTACTGATAGAATCACTATGCATTGGGCCAATAGAGACCATCACCTGGCGGGAGAAACTTCTTTTGTTCTTTGACTTTTTTTTTTTTTTAATCTGAGCATCATGGTGGTGGGCCTGGTCCAATGGTTTTAAAGTCTCAGTTTGCTCTAGAATCTTCTAAGGAGGTTTGAAAAATCACAAAACCTTGAGTCCTACCCATAGGGATTTTAATTTAAAAAGTCTAAGATGGGGACTGGCTGTTGACTTTTTTTTTTTAAGGCTTAGCACTCAGGGTTGAGAGCCACTGGTTGAATCCAATAAAAAGGGTCAAGGTCTTTCAAAGGATGCTGGGGTATCTTGGCCACTCCGCAGGTAACCACCTCCTCTTCTTTCCCCAGATGGTGCTCCTGGCCAGGTGCGAGGGGCACTGCAGCCAGGCGTCGCGTTCTGAGCCCTTGGTGTCCTTCAGCACTGTTCTCAAGCAACCCTTCCGTTCCTCCTGTCACTGCTGCCGGCCACAGACCTCCAAGCTGAAGGCATTGCGGCTGCGCTGCTCAGGGGGCATGCGACTCACTGCCACCTACCGGTACATCCTGTCCTGTCACTGCGAGGAATGCAGCTCCTGAGGCTTGCTGCTGGATGGGACCACTGCAGAGGCAGTCCAACCAGCCAGGAAGGACTGGCAAGAAAAGAGTTAAGGAAAACAAACACAAAGAGATGCAGCGATTCCCACAAGATTCTGCATAGTCTAGGCGTAAAGACTCCACATGGTTCTTGACAGAGAGAGCTACTCTGGGAACTTGTTTTCAGTTCCCATCTCCTTTCCCTGGTACAATTTCTTTTGGTTCCTTCTCGGATTCAGTTATGTTTCCCTTTGGCTCTGAATGCTGTTTTGGGTTTCCAGCCACTGTGCAGTAGTGGGAAAATGTGGGCCCCCATGCAAGAGTATGTCAGGCTGTCACTGTTTGGTGCATATCAGGGAAGAATTTGCTTTGGAAAGCAGGACATCTCAAGTCTTTCTGGAATATCTTCTGCTTTTTTTTTTTTTAATCTTGTTATTTTGGTCTAAGGTTGCTATTGCCGCTATAGGTTACCGATTTCAAATTACAGATGCAAAGCATATGGATATGTTTAGCCAGGTTTACTCATAGACAGCAAATTGACATTAAAATAACTAACAAATGATTCTCTTAGGTAAAGCTGGAACTCTTGATAGTTGTAATTATTATTCAGAAATGACTTTTTGGGAAGCAAAGGTGACATAAAGAATTTGTCACCCGAAGGCTCTTGCAAATAAATTATGGTAGACGTTTGTAAGGGAGCAGACTTTTAAAGACTTGCACAAATACGGATCCTGCACTGACTATGGAAAAGGCATATACGTTCTAGTGGCATGGAGAATGCACCATACTCCTGCATGCAAATTAGACAACCCAGTATGAATTTATTTGTGGGTGTGCTATAGCTTTAGCCATGTCTTGGGCATCATTCTCTAACATCCACTTGTCCATGTGAAGCTTGTTGCCAAAATGGCAGCCTGGCTCATCTTCTGAACATTTGATTCAAATATATTGTGGTCCTTGAAGCTCAAATTTTGAGTTATTTCCATGTTTTAAAATAAAAAGAAAGTATCTTCAAAAATTTGACCTGTATAAGTAGTTTTTTTTTTTTCTGACTCTATCTTACTGTGCTGTGAACTATAAGATACATGTAGCTAGTGCTTGGACATCTTCTATGATGTGGTAGGAGGGTTCAAAAAAGAGAAAGATAAGGTTCTAGAATATATGATGGTGGTATTAGAATTTTAGAATTATTTACTTGAAAAGCAGAGGATTCACCCCCTAAAAGCCCACAACATCCAGGCCAGGCCAGGCCAGCCCAGGCTAAAGAGGTAAGCCAAGAACTCAATCCATGTCTCCCATGTAGGTGACAGGGACCCAATTATTTTTTTAAGATTGATTTATTTATTTGAAAGGCAGACTTACAGAGAGACAGAAGCAGAGAGAAAGAGAGAGAGGTCTTCCATCCGATGGTTCACTCCCCAATTGGCCACAACAGCAGGAGCTGCGCTGATCCAAAGCCAGGAGCCAGGAGCTTCTTCTGGGTCTCCCACATGGGTGCAGGGGCCCAAGGACTTGGGCCGTCTTTTACTGAATTCCAGGCCTTAGCAGAGAGCTAGATTGGAAGAGGAGCAGCCAGGACTAGAACCGGCGCCCATACGGGATGCCGGGCTTCAAGCCAGACAGTTAACCCACTGCACCACAACGCCGACCCCAACAGGGACCCAATTTCTTAAGCCACTACCAAAGCCTCACAGGATCCGCATTAGCAGGAATCTGGAGTCAGGAGCCAGAGCTGAGCATCAGGTAGGGATTGTGACATCTCAATTGTAAGGCTTAACACCTAATTGGGGCTTTAAAAAAAAAAAAAAGCAGTCTGGGAGAAGGCTTATGAAGTTTGGCTATTAGTCTCAGAAGTTAGCCAATCACATGAACACAAACTTGATGCATTCTGGATTCCTTAGTATACAGTGAAATAGTCATCTCCTTTTTAATCTCCTAACTTTCTACTCGGAAGAGAATGAATATCCATAATTAAAGTCTGAAGAACCAGCAGGAGGACACATAGTTCACAGTGATTCCTGTACTGTTGACTAGCTAATGCCCCGGGGCCAATGATACCATTGAGCAATGCAAGAACACTCACAATGCTAGTCGAGTGCTGTGTCCACTGTAGGCATCTCAAAACTAACCCAGAGTGGGCAACTCAGTTTCTACAGCAACCTGGACACCATCCTGCTCTGGTTAACCAAAGATGAGGTGCTCCTCACTGTTTGTACAGCCAACCTGTGAATTACTTTCCTGTAGAGAAGATGGTGTTGTACACTCTTTGGCACAGAATTCACACATTTTTTTAGGAAGCCAGCAGAGTTAAATTTGTTTCTGTGGCTTTGAAACAGAATGAAACTAGGGCTATTAAACCTTGACCTTGATCTTAACCTTCATGGTGACAGAATCAGCTAGTCTACTAAATTGAAAGGTCTCCTCGTGCTGAAGGCAAACATGAAATGGTAATTTGGACTATTACATGAAGAGAAATTTTCTCATAAAAAGAACTAAATTTTAATGCTGAAAGCTAAATGGTTATAATTCTTAACTGATAACAAAAGTATTAACTGCTGGTCACATTTATGGCTGTCCTTTTATGTTGCTAATCAAAAAGTGAAAATTATACTTCTAGCCTTAAAATATCTCTTCTTGGCTTTGAAAACTCAAGTTGTTTTGACAATCTATAATATATACCCCAAACTCCAGTTTTTATTTTATCCCTACAGATATGGGACCGGGGGTGAGGGAGTTAAATGACTAATATCTTCCAGATTCTTGGGAAACCATAAAAAGTAATCCCTTCAAATCCCTTTATATGGTCTATTGTCAAAGCTTCTTCCATGGAAATGAGCAGAATATGCTTGGAGTATTAAAGAATCACACGACAGTGGCATTGCAAGGACCATTACAAAGTATGCATTTTCTTCTCCCCTTAAAGAGACTTGAAAGAGCAAATGGGGCTGTTCCCTTTGAGGCTGGCACTGTGGCATAATGGGTAAAGCTGGCGCCTACAGTGCCGTCATCCCATATGGGTGCTGGTTTGAGTCCTGGCTGCTCCACTTTTGATTCAGCTCTCTGCTGTGGCCTGGGAAGGCAGCAGAGGATGGTCCAAGTCTTTGGGCCCCTGAACCCACATGGGAGACACAGAAGAAGCTCCTGGCTCCTGGCTTCAAATAGGCCCAGCTCTGGCCATTGCAACCATTTGGGGAGTAAACCAGCAGATGGAAGACCTCTCTCTCTCTCTGTGTAACTCTGACTTTCAAGTAAATAAATAAATCTTTTAAAAAATAAAAGAGCAAACAGAAACCTATAGAAATCCAACAACTTGCTCAAAGTCACACCTTTAGTTTTGGATTTGGAACTACAATCCAGGTTTCCTGCTCTCCATAGTCCTGGGTGCTTCTTTGCCCTTCCCATTACCAACAAAAAGATCCTTACCCCTTTAGGATCTTCTATGCTGAATAGGGTGAGTGGGCTGGAAGAGAGTGTGGCAAGACAGGGTGAAGTTTAGCAGTAGCATCCCAAGGCTGAGAAAGGGAACACGAGTTACAGTCTCCCCAAAGACCTCAAAACAGCCCTGAGAACAGAGGGAATTCAAACATTATCAAATATTCCATTACAATGGAATTTGTATTATATCTTTTTTTTTTTTTTTTTTGACAGGCAGAGTGGATAGTGAGAGAGAGAGACAGAGAGAAAGGTCTTCCTTTGCCGTTGGTTCACCCTCCAATGGCCGCCACAGCTGGCGCGCTGCGGCCGGCGCACCTCGCTGATCCGAAGGCAGGAGCCAGGAGCCAGGTGCTTTTCCTGGTGTCCCATGGGGTGCAGGGCCCAAGCACCTGGGCCATCCTCCACTGCACTCCCTGGCCACAGCAGAGAGCTGGCCTGGAAGAGGGGCAACCGGGACAGAATCCGGCGCCCCAACCGGGACTAGAACCCGGTGTGCCGGTGCCGCAAGGTGGAGGATTAGCCTATTGAGCCGCGGCGCCGGCCTTGTATTATATCTTTTAAAATTAAATACATTTGGATTTATTTTAGTGTTTACCACTAAGGATTGAGACCAAATGAAAACAACGATCAGTTAGAAGCATTATTCCTGGAATACCTAAGGAATGTTCACTTGTCTTCTCTGTTTACAATGCATGAAAAAAAGGAAACTAAAATATATTTTTAAAAGATTTATTTATTTATTTATTTATTTGAAAGGCAGATTTGCAGAGAGGCAAAGGCAAAGAGAAAAAGAAAGGTCTTCCATCCACTGGTTCACTCTCCAAATGGCTACAATGTCCAGAGCTGCTCCTATCTAAAGCCAGGAGGCAGGAGCTTCTTCCAGGTCTTCCATGTGGGTGCAGGGGCCCAAGGACTTGGGCCATCTTCTACTGCTTTCCCAGGCCACAGCAGAGAGCTGAATCAAAAGTGGAGCAGCCAGGACTCGAACCAGCACCCATATGGGATGCCGGCACTGCAGGCAGCGGCTTTACCTGCTAAGCCACAGCACGAGTCCCACTAAATATATTATAATCTTAGTAGTACATTTTATAAATCTGTATGATAATCCATAATGGTGAAAGTTAAGCCTCTTGTAAACTGATCTTACTCTCATCTTTTTTTTTTTTTTTTTTTTTGACAGGCAGAGTGGAAAGTGAGAGAGAGAGACAGAGAGAAAGGTCTTCCTTTGCCATTGGTTCACCCTCCAATGGCCGCTGCGGCTGGTGCACCGCACTGATCTGATGGCAGGAGCCAGGTGCTTCTCCTGGTCTCCCATGGGGTGCAGGGCCCAAGCACTTGGGCCATCCTCCACTTCACTCCCTGGCCACAGCAGAGAGCTGGCCTGGAAGAGGGGCAACCGGGACAGAATCCGGCGCCCCGACCGGGACTAGAACCCGGTGTGCTGGTGCCGCAAGGCGGAGGATTAGCCTAGTGAGCCACGGCGCTGGCCACTCTCATCTTTTTTAAAGATTTATTTTGTTCATTTGAAAGACAGAGTGACAGACAGAGATAGAGAGACAGAAAGAGAGGTCTTCCATCTGCTGGTTCACTCCCCAGATGGCTGTAACGACTGGGACTTGACCAGATCGAATCCGGAAGCCTGGAACTCCATCTTGGTCTTGCACATGAGTGGCACTTGACCTATTTTCTGCTGTCATCCCAGGGGCATCAGCAGGAAGCTGGATTTGAAGCTGAGCAGCTGGGATTTGAACCGGCACTAGGATATAGGATGTTGCCGATGCAGGTAGCAGCTTAACCTGCTGTGCCATAATGCCGGCCCCTTACCTGCATCTTTTATAAATGTTTAATAATAATGAGTTCAGACTGCTGTGGAAGGTAGACAGGTTTATGAACTTAATTGATTTTCTTGAGATTACAGCTTCTCAGACCAATCCCTTCTCTTATACATGTTGTAAAGTTCCTGAACTTTCCCCAGAAGCTTAGAATGAAAGATCAATTAACCCTTCTTAGTTCTGAAGAGATAGTGGCTGACCTTCTTATAAACTCAAGTATTTGCTGATTTACCCAATACACTATTTTGTATTAGGTAGAGTGGGCTGTATATACATTCTGGCTGCAGGACAGAGTAAACTGACTTTTTAATGAGACTTTGGAGGAATGAAGGTATGGATTTGCTTTCAGTCACTTCTTCCAGCCTCACTGAAACACATGACGGGACTTCAAAAAGTTCATGGAAAAATGAAACTAAAAGATAAATTTGCTTTGGTGCAAAACATTTTTGAAATCCATGTGTTATTTCACAATATGCATTCCCATGAACTTTTCAAAAAAAGTTCTTGTATGTACGTGAGCAAGAGAGCTGCCCAAGATGGAACACCAAAGTTGTAGGGGCCAGAGAAGGTGGGAGCAGTGGGGAGGCATGGATCAGAAAAGGAAGCTATGTCCTGCTGATGGTGCCTTCTTGATGAGGTATCCTGGTGGACAAATACGCCTGTTCCCTTCAAAGACTGGTACAGTGGAGAGGCTTAGATCTGGGTCGAGTTTGGCCATAGGTGTACTGTGGGAGGAGCTCTTTACTTAG